GTGGTGGCGAGTTTTTCGGTGAAGTTTCTGCAGCTGCCGTGGAGTGGGGGATGAAGTATTTCTGGGACGTGCTGCTGGACGCAGACTTGGAGTGCGACGTGCTAGGGTGGCAGTACATATCGGGGAGTTTACCGGACGGGCACGAGCTGGATCGGATAGAGAATCCCGAGGTACGAAACGCTTGCGTGGAGGAGTGGGGGTGGTGATGGTTGTGTTGGGTGGGTGGGAGATGGGGGGGGCGTGTTGTGGGATGAGTGGGAATAGGATAGGAAGGTGGATGTTGGAATGAGGACGGAAGAAGTTTGTGGGAGGGTGGGTGGTTGAAGAGGTGGCCGATGGGTGTGGGTGGTGTGTGGGGGAGTGGAGTGGGAGCAGTTGGGGTGAGGCGCAATTTGGGTGGATGTGGTTTCTGGATGCGGTGGAGTGGTGTGGTGGGAGTGGAAGTGAGGTGGCAGGAGGGGTGTGGAGGATACTGGTAGCGAGGCATGGGGTGGGTTTGGAGTTTTGTATGGTTTTTGGTGTTGTGTGGTGGAGTGGAGTGTGTTATGAGAGAAGGAAGGGGCAGTCGGGAGTCGGGGCGGAGTTGATGGGTGGGTGGAAATGATTTGGTGCGGGGTGAGGATTTGGTTGGTGAGTGCGGACAGGACTCCGACGACAGCGGTGGCGTTTGATGCAATGCGGAGTGGAGACGGGCATGGTGAAGGAGGATGGTTTTGTGGAGTGAAGAGGGCTGAGGATGGTTGGTGGTGTGTTGTTATGTATCAGGTGGAAGGATACAGGTTCGATCCGGACGGAGATTATGTGCGGAGGTGGATCCCAGAACTGGCACGACTACCGAACGAGTGGGTTCACCACCCATGGGATGCTCCGCCGAGCGCTCTTCGAGCAGCGGGCGTGGAGTTGGGGACGAATTACCCGCGGCCGATCGTGGAGATAGGAGCTGCGAGGGAGCGACTGCAGGCGTCGCTGGCGGAGATGTGGGAAAGAGACGCAGCAATGAAAGCGGCGCTGGCGAACGGGTTGGAAGAGGGACTGGGAGAGACGGTGGAAGTGGCAGGCACGGGAGGACCGGAGCACGAGAGAATGGATGTGCCGAGAGTGATGGTGCACATGCAGCGGGATGCGGACATGTCGTGCAACAGCTCGAGGAGAGACCAGCTGGTGCCAGAGATAGTGCCGAACCAGTTCCACATCCGGGCGCACGAGTCGATCATGAACAGGAGCGCGGCGATGGTGGAGGACGGGGAGGAAGCGGGGCGGGCGGCGGTACCGATGGTGTTTGCGAGCGTGAGGAGGGGGATGGGTGGGAACTACGGTGGGCATCATGTGGAAGGGAACGGCGGGGAAGTGGCGCAGGCAAGCGCCCCGATACAGTGGCCGACAGTGACGGCGGTGGATTACGAGTTGGATTCAACGGCAGAATCGGCGTCGGTGACGGGACGCGGGGGGAGCGAAGGCGGGACGGTGCCGGTGTGGTCGCAGTCGGTGTCAGCTAGGACTCCAATCCAGGTGCGGGAAGGTCTGGTGCCGGAGGTGCGAAGAGGACCGGGTTTGTCGCGGAGGCAACTGCAGGCGTCGGTGCAGAGGGTGAACCTGGAGGGGATGACATCGAATAAGGTAGGCGTCGGGAGCATGGTGGATTTGGATGGGTAGGAGCATTGAAGTTTTGTAGGCAGGCAGTTTTATTGCGTTGATGAAATTTGTTTGGCGTTTGGTAGTTTGGCGTTGTGGTGAGAGTAGTAGCAGAGTAGGAGTGGGAGGAGGTGTTTGGGGCGGAAAGCCCAGGTCGGTGTGCGGTTTGTGTTGGTTGGTGGGTTATCTCGAATTCCTACAGATTTGGGCTTTGTGCTTGTATCTGGTGCAGACAAGCTCTCTCTCGGTTTAGATTGGTCCACGGTGGAGCTGGAATGTGGGGGCTGAAATGAATGGCCACATCAACTTGGTGGCCTGACTTCATGCGAGATGCTTTCTTCTTTGGGGGTTTGTAATGCTGCCTGCTTATGTGGGATGCACTGTGTTGTGCTTTGGTCATACAGCAGGCTGAAGAGGAGGACTTTTACGTGCCAAAGTTGGTGAAATGGACTCAACCCCGCAAGCGGCGTGTCAAGCAAGATGGCTGACTGACTGCTTGGACACGCAGATTTGACACAATTTGTAGAGCTTACGGGAGTTAGTTTTACCTCATACATTGATCTTTTTCTAGCTTGGCATTTTTCGTATGAGATGGATCCGGCTGTTGCCAAATGGGACAGAGTCTTTTTAGGGTCTTGTATTCGGCTCCTCCAATGCTATGTGTTAGTATACTTGAGTGCTATTACTTTGCATTCCCAAATTTATCTACTCTGATGAGTAGTGCTGGGTAATTGCACTAATTGGATTGAGGTTTTACATCTTCCTTGATGTTATATTGTACAAAACAGTGGTGACTTGTGCTTTGTCATAGGTTTGGGGCGTATCTAGTTCCAGTGCATTATGACGATTAAATAGTAGTGCTGCATTCTGGAGATCTTCGTAGTTCACTGGTTCATCAAATGTATATCATAATATGGCTATTGAAGCTAGTTGAGTGTAATTTTAGGTGCAGTGCAGTATGAATTGTGGGCCATGAATTCTGCAGTGTGTCTTGCGCACATGCTTTTGTTAATTCCAAAGGTTCGACTGGATTGCCTTTTTCATGGCGAGCTTATTGTAGATGATTTGGACTTGTTATTCTGTCTTTAGGTTTTAAAAAAGATATTTTGGATCCTCTTTTCAATTTTCTTATTTCCTGATGGAGTATTTTGCTTGTGAATGGATTCATGTTTGTTAAGTGAAGGTTCGAATTCGTCTTTTGTGACTAATGTACCTCCTCAGTTTATCAGTAGATCAGCGGTAGTTATGCTGGTCATCGGCATCGAATTTTTATGATCTGTTGGAGTTATGTAATGGTGATGAGGCGTCCTTACGTCACCGTTACGTCTTCTGGTTCATTTCTTTTTTGTTTTGTTGGAAGATCGATTTGATTGCAGGTTTTTTCATATTTTATATCTCAAGTACAACTATACTAAGGTCGTTTTAATCGAACCGAAGTTGTATGTTAGATGTTTATGCAATGATGGAAATTGAATATGAATAGGGAAAAATCTTTTATGTATAGATAATATGATTCTATCATGAATCAATATTGGGAATTGGGTAATGAAACTCAAGTGGGTGTTTGGGAGATTGCCCTCAATTTGTGATCGTTTTAGTGCGTAAGGGTTGATATTGTAATTTATTATATAAGATTTTTGCAGCTTACAAGATTGTGGTTAAAATTGTAGTTTCAAGATTCATGTGCAGTGGTTTTTTTTAATAATTTTAGTATCAATTGGTGAAGTAGTCCTTGATTAGATGTGCTTTTGATTGTTGTTGATTTAATATATGAGAAATTTGGTTCAACATAGTAAAGAATATAATATTTATCTTATGTTCTGTTAGAATTATTAAAATCAGTATTTATCAATAAAAATAGGAGAGAAACATAACAATATTCTAGACAATCCTCTAGACAAAAGTATAGAAGAATATGTATTTGTCTTATGTGCATATTTTAATTAGTAGATAGAATCTAAATAATATGATAAATCTTGTTAAGCTAAGGTTATTATGTAGTTGGAAAAATTGCAAATGATATTATATCTATTCATGGTTTACAAAACTAATGATAGTTGCTTGTATTATAGATTCTTTGAGAAGAATTCCTTGTTTTACTTCTATTATATCATTTAATAGAAAAGAAACACATTGTTGTAATTTTATGTGTTAATTGTAAAATAACGTAAATTATTTAATATTATTTGGATATTATTAAGATATTTATTTAGATATGATATTTTTTTTAGATATTAGTATATCTAAATAATATAAATTGTTTAATAAATTATTGAATTGTTAATGTACTTTTTTGAAAACTTTCTTACATAAGGCATGTTATTACTTAGAAGCATGTTTTAAAAGGTTGTGGTTTGAAAGTCTATTTCAATATCAAATACAATAAGATTCCAAAACATTACATGAAGAAAAAAAAAACAAGATTTGTTTTTCTTAAAAGATTTATATTAATCAAGCTCTAATACAAAATTTAATAATTTGTTGTATTTTTCGTAAGTTAGATAATTAAATCTATGCTTAATTTATTAATAGTGATAATAATAATAATAATTTTTTGTGATCATTATTTTGTGATTTGTGATTTTTATTTATTTATTTATTTATTTTTGTTTTTTTTTTTTTCTCTTCAATAGACCATCTTTGTTGTTTGTTTCCATCTCTCCTAGTTCTTTTGAATTTTTTTTTTTTTTTTTTTTTAATTTTTAATTTAATTTTTTATTAATATTAATTTACATTTAAAAGTCCTTTGGAATTTAAATAATATCTTTTGGTTGATTTGGTTGCAAGAATTACAATATTAAAAGTGCTATAAAGACAATTGTTTACTTCTTCCTTATAGATTGGTTAATGAAAAATTGGTTTAAAAAAATTAATTTTTAAAATATTAATATAGTTGCAAATAAATAAAGTGGATTTTTAGTTTTTTATAATATGATAATAGTTAATACATACTAATATCTTTTAAAATTAAACTTTTTTGAAATCAAAGATAATTCTTATTTAATAAAAAGACTTTCAATGGTCTTCAAATTTTTAGATTAGAAGTAAGTTTATATAAAAGAGATGTCAAATTCTAAATTCTTTTTGCTTGCATATATTTTTAAAATCTATGTAATAATGTTGCTTGCTTGGCATACATAAGAAGAATTGTGTATCTATATTAGAATTAGTTTTGGTGCTTAATATATATACATATTGCAATTCCTTTATGCCAAATAAGTCAAATAAACATGGCTTCTTTACATGCTCTTGGTCAAAAGCAATTGTCTTTGTAATAAAAGAAAAAATTAGAATTTATAATTGCTCTCTATTTAATTTTATTCATATTCCAAGCTTGTTAAATTTTGAATTTCACAAAATATTCTAAAAAATGTGTAGTGACCACATTTGACCACACTAGTCTAAATTTTTCCTACCTTATTATATTTTTTAGAATTTATCTTTTATTTGTATTTATAAATCTAAGTTCAAGTAAAGACTTGCTGATATGATTTTAGTGTTGTTAGTTTGGCAAACATAAGTCTATATCTAATGATATTTTGAATATTTGACTCACGTAGAGAGAGAGCTTGTATAATCCATTTGTCTAATAAAGATTTCATTGCTTTTTTTGAATTTTTAATATTAAGACCTTAATTCTTAGGTTGGTAACAAATATGCTAAAAAGCAAGTTAAATTTTAGATGTTCCCTTAAATAAAGTCTTAGACTATGGAACATATTTTGAAACATGATTAAAAATACCTTATTTAAATAGAGATAAAAGAATATATGTATACATATACTTACTGAAATATTTTTTTGAGAACTGTGAATTTATAGACAATCTTTAATTTAATATAAATCAATAATTGGTTTGAGTAAAAATTCCTAGTTAAGCCAGTATGAAAAATATGTCGATGTAAACTTTTTTGTAATATATATATATATATATATATTCACAAAAGATAAATATTTTTGCATCAATACTTAGAAATTTATTTTTGAAAGAGTAATTTAGAGTATTTTCTAATAATAGTCCAAAAATGATTAAAAAATATTATTTATTACAAATATATTATAAATTATTAAAAATTAATTTTTATTTTATAAAAATAAATATCTTTATAAATATATAATTTTCAATTTTTTTAATCTTAAATAATTTTACAAGAAAAAAGTAAAAATAAATAAATATTTTAAAAGTATTTTAAAAATGAAAGCAACTTATGTATAAGATGAAGGTAGTTACATTGAAAAAGAAATAATTCACTTATATATTAAAAAAATATCTATGATAGTCATAGACTTTATATGATTTTTTTAAGATACATCTCAATTAAACAAAATAAATTTGGCAATATATTATTATGCAATGTATGTCACGGACACAGAAATACAGACTCGAGATCTAATAAGAAGTTCAAGAAGAACTGGCAAGAACTAGATTAATTAGATGAATACAAGAACAACACCAGAGAGGTGAACTAGAGCTCCAAGAGATGTGTTGTCGAGACTGAAGAACTCTTCAGCCTCGATTCCAATATATACTCCTATTTAGGAAGCTTCTCAAGTAACTTCTACTAACTAGGAAGCTTCTAGAAGGTTTCAGAGACTTGCTTCTAGAAGGTTCTAGAAACTTGTCTCTAGAAGGTTCTAGAAACTTGTCTCTAGAAGGTTCTAAGGACTATGTCCCTAACATCTTCTACCAACTAAGAAGCTTCTAGAAGGTTCTAAGGACTATGTCCCTAACATCTTCTACCAACTAAGAAGCTTCTAGAAGGTTCCAGAGACTTGCTTCTAGAAGGTTCTAGAAACTTGTCTCTAGAAGATTCTAAGGACTATGTCCCTAACATCTTTAAGGACTATGTCCCTAACATCACCCACTCTTTTAGCTTCGAGATCTCTGAGAAGCAATGTTCTTGTTAATCAGTACCAACGTAAGAAAATGAAGATCTGTCGCATAACGTCTGCTATGAATTCCAACTGTTGTTTACGAAGCAAGTGGTTCATTAGTCCTTGAAGCCAACAGTAGTGGCCCATTCCTTCAACTTCTGACCAAGCATGAACTTCCATGTCCTCATTGTGAAATTGTCCTGCAAACACGCCTTCTGGTTGACCATTGTAAGCAGGCTCGGACTCAAATACAATCACTAGTGATCGGTTACTCGATATCCTCTGTCGTCGTCGTGGTGTAGGCGGTTCTTTATCTCGGGGTTGCCTTCGTGATCTAGTTGGTTGAGATAATCTGACTGGCATAGTATCTATCTCTTGGCTATCCATATCAGAATACCAAATTATGGCTACTGAAAAAATTCTACTTTATCTTGGAGAAAATAACTACATCAATTGTGAATTTTGGTGGTGCTCTCTTCCTGTCTTATATTCTTGGGTGAGCAAGCTTTAGAAGGAAGCTATTGTCGAATCGACTTAGGTTTATGAGGATGTTGTTGATGAAACTCCTGTATCTTTTGTAGCGCATTGGCAAGATTTTCAGCTGGCTTTCACATTTGCTCATTAATGTCGTAGCCGCACCAATAAACAAGATACTCCAACTTGCCCCACCTTCACCATGAATCCAGTATCTTTTCAACCTCATATTCCTCATGGTTCTCGATCTCAATACTAGGTGGCGGACATTGTACTCTTCCAGGAAAAGACGACTCTCGATAAGGCTCTAACAGAGAAACATGAAAGACTAGATGTGCCTTCTTAGAAGCCGGTAATTCCTGATGGTATGCCACTGGATTGATTTGCTTCTAGATGATAAATGGTCCCAATCTTCGATAGTCGAACTTATCACATGATCACTTGATCTTGATATTTCGTTGAAGAAGCCATGCTTTATCTCCAATTTTGAAAGTAGGTGCTTGATTTCGAAATCTATCTGTAGATGCCTTGTAGGATGATGGCAGGTCCGTGATAAAGTCCATGGAAACTAAAGACCATAGTCGACGTGGAATCGACAATGGATGTAGGAGTCCATAAGGGTGATGCCGAGGATTCTTGGATCTTGAACAAATGTCACAAGAGAGGACAAAATCTTTCACATCCTTCCACATTTGG